AGGGGAATTGCGAAAAGCTAGGAGTCCCTTGAGCACATGAAAAACGATTTAAGCGCTGCGTCAGCGGAAGAAATGATTTTTTAAGTACGCACCAAACAAGCACCGGGGAGCGAAGAAAAATTGGGAAAACCGGAAAAACACTAATAGTAAGATGCAACAAATAACGACCGAATATCCATCACCGCAGCGGAATTCAAACAAAAGCAACTGCAATATTAGCAGAAGTGCTGCAGAAATACTGGGTACACAGCTAAATGATTTTGGGAAATCACTTAGAAGCACATGAAAAGTGCCAAATCAGCTGAAAAGCACAAGATGAAAGGGGAAAATTTTCACTCCTTCCACAAAGTCGAAGAAGATGAAGCCGCAGACGAAATATTAAATGATTTGCAGCAGATTTTTCGCGCATATGCAGGCAGAAGGCAGGATAAGTATGTGTGTGCTTGTAACTGCTGCCTTAGGGACATCATAAACAGCCAAAGGATTCGCAGGCCAAAGGCAACGAGAGTGCAAATCGTGTCGGGCAGCAGCCAAAGTGAAAAGTGCAGCGCCCTGCACGTAATGCATTTCAGGATATATGCCGATTTCAATGCCCTAAAAACAAGGATTTTTGGAAATGCGATTGCCCTTTAAGGAAGTTGCCCGAAACCAATATAAATAAATGACAAATTTAAATATGTCGAAAAATAACTTATTTAAACATCAGTTATAAACGTATTTTTGAAGAGTTTAAGAAAATTTTTTTTTTTGAATATTTGAATTTGTTTGCCCCCCTTTGGGGATTTTATTTAGAGCTAGTAATTCATATTCTTTTTTTTTGTTTTTTTTTTTGTAAATAAATCAAAAGACCCTTTTTTTCAACTTTTTTTGGAGCCAACATAAATATAATTAAAAAACTCAAATAAAATCTGTCAAAAATTTAAATTTTTTAATCTTTTTGAAAATCTCACAAAACATTTGAGTTAACTTATTTGGGGTCAACTTAAATGTATTCACACAACTTAAGTCAACAAGTCTAATCTGTTGCAAACAAATCATATAAGAATATATTTTTTAAATGAACAAAACACTTGTTCCCCTGGATGTTTTAACTTAAAATTTTCAACTTTTAAAAGTCTTCAGCCTTAGTTAATACACTCTGCATGAGAGTGCAAAAAAGGGCAATGCCATGTGCAACCTACAAAAACACCAGTACCATTACCAGCACCCGTATTAACACACATGCAGAGAGATTGCTTTTGGAGTTTATTGAGCCTGACATTCAAGGCAGATGGATGGTGTGGGGGCAGGGGGAAAGTTTTTGGGCCAGTTCATTTCATTGGCATTATGATTGGAAGCTGTCGTCGTTTGCCTCAAATTGTGCAAGTTATGTGGATGTGGTGGCTGTGGTTCAGTGCCCATTGGATGAGGCTGCATTCGAGGATATCCGAAAATTTCGCACAAACGGAAATGACAAAAAAAAATGGGTAAATTGAGGGGAAGGTTCAGCTCTCAATGCTGACCGCAGGTCAACACGAGGGCTATGGAGGGTTAAGAGGGGATTAGGTTTTGGTAGGGCCAGCGGGCAGCAATACGTAGAGACACTGGCAAAAAGCTAGAGAGCCAGCAACGACACATTTGCCACATCAGCAAATGATGTGAAAATGTCATTTCCAGGCGCAACTGCCAAAGGTAATGGGACAAGGGGGCCAGGGATCCTGAATCCTGAATCCTGGATCCCACACTCAAGCACACACACACACACACACATGACACTAAATTTGTGGCAAGCGAGCGCAAAAAAGGTCCACAAACTGCGAAACTAATGATGGGTAAGAAGGGTCCAAAAGGCAGGGCCTTATCAAATTGCGCATACATGAATGTCGCACAGCTTCATCAGGTTCCCCATTTCCATACCCATACCCATACATATACACATACCCACACCCATACCCCCACCCATACCCATTTTCATTCCACTGAATGGCAGCAAATCAAATTTAATTGAAGCACAAAAATCTGTTGCCTACTTTTGCGGGCAATGGAACAATTGCGTGACTTCCTGTCCCTGCCCCTTTGCCTTTATGCCACGCCCCCTTTAACCACTGCCAATTGGCAGAAACGCTACTAATTTGGTTAAATGTTTGATTGAAGTTTGCCCAACTGCTCTCTGGCCGATAGGTTTAATTATATCCGGCTGCGTATGCGACACCCCAGTTAGGCCACCAAATTAATGGGTGGGATTAAGGACTGTTGACTCTACTTACAATGTGTATTATTGGTGTACTGGGGTTTTCTTTGTTTCTTTTGGCATTTCGTGAATTAGATTTAATAGTTTTTTTTCAACGCTTTTGTTGTGTATTGTTGAATGTATTTTGTTTACCCTTACAGAGGGTATTATTATTACTCTCGAAGTTTGCCAAGCAGTTAAGCAAACATATGCAGAAATTTTCGACTATTTTCTATGATTTTCTACCATTTCCTATGATTTTCTACCATTTTCCAAGTTTTAAAGCCATAAAGAAATAAATTTCTTTAAAAGCTTGTACCCATTTAATTGTTAGATTATACTATATTTTTAAAAACAATGAATTAAAATGAAGAGGAAATCATAGCTACGTAGTTTTTAAACATATATTCCAAGAAGCATCACTTTTACAATACTAAAAATACGGTTAATATTTTAATACCAACCAAAAAATTGTATCATACAGCAGCTTTAAAAAGTTTGAAAACTTTTTCAGTAAGTCAAAATAGTTTAATTGTTTTTAAACATATACACACATAATTTGAGAATTTTGGTCTTGTCTAGACTTATAGATTTATGATATAATTTAAAGGATATTAACATGCCGAAGCTGGCTTTCTTTCTTCTTTTTTCTTATTTTCCTGTGAAATCTTTAAAGCTCTTTAAAATTAGTTTGCCTGAAAGTCGGGAAATTTTTACTTATACTTAATTATATACCTTGCAAAAGTAAAATCTAGTATTTTAATGCTTAATCTTAATTGATGAATGAGATACAAAATAAAAATAAAAATACAAAGAAAACTATGCTTTGAAGATAAAGAATGTGTTTTTTTTAATTATATTCCTTGAACATTTATATTATAAATGGACGTATATATAGGTATATTTTGGTACGAAACACAGGACCATTTAATTTTCCCTTTGTCTGGATTTCCGTATATTTAGGCCCGCCTATTGACTTTTTTGCGCTTTCGTTTGCTTTTCTTTGTACCCAGGACCCAGTCTTTCTTTTTCGCCAGCTTTTGGTTCAGTTGAGTCCAGTCCATTGACCTGGCATTGTGTGGACTTGGACTTGGATTTGGTCCTGGAGTTTCTTTACTTTCTTGGTGTTGCCTTCTCACAATTAATTTGGCGATTTACTTAATTCCTCTTTCTGTCTATCGACCCAATTAAGGGTCTACTTTTGTTCTAGTTCGATTTTGATTGATGCATTCCGTACGAGGACGTGAGTGGATTGCTTTGGTTCGAGTTATCCGCATTACTCAAACGGGACTTTACTTAATCAAACTTCAAGATGTGTTTTCATCAGCATTTTCCTGCTTTAACTGGTTTTTCCATTTAGGGCCATTTCATTTGCATTCTTCACTGGCTGTTTCGCTTCTTTTTTTTTATGTGTTTGTTGGCAAAGCAACAAATGATGCGTAAGAAATGCTTTAATAAACAGGGCACCAGTTTGCTTTTTTTCCTCTCTCTTTTTTTTTTTTTTTTTTTGACCAAGATGGTAGTTTACTTTCCAGGCCATTTGGCTGAAGAGTCTTTAAGTTGGGCGGCATATATGGTTGGGTATAGTTTTCTGGGGGCCGCACATCTATTCCGTTTGTTTAAGGGCTAATAAATATTTTAGCTGGGGTGGTGCAGAAAAATATGTTTGCAGCAGTTGGAAACAAACGAGCGAGCAAACGAGTTGAGTAAATCAAGCCGCACTTCCGCTTCAAGCTGGAGCTTGGGTCCCATGGAGAAAGGACCCCCGGAAAAACCTGCTCTACAAAAACCCCCCTTCCTAAAAAACCCCACCATTCCGAAAACCCCCTTTTTCCTGCCCTTGCTTGTCTGCTGTCTGCTTTCTAACTGAATGAAAGCCTTGGCGCGTTGACTGATTTCGAATGGATTTTCCACGCTTTGCATGTGTATGTTTGTGTATGTTTCATTGCTGTTGTGTGTATGTGCTAGTGTGTGCTTGAGCGTGTGTGTATGTGTGTGAGTCACAAAATCCCGTAGGTGCAAAATAGCGCACTCCAGGCAACGAAGCATGTGCACATTTGTGTTTTTTTTTTCATCCTTTTCTGCCGACGCCGTGTCGGTCCTCTGCTCCTTTTCGTGTTTCATTTGTTTTGTTTCATTTTTCACTCTGAACAACAGAAGAAAGGGTAGCTGGGGTATATAAGCGGGTGCTTAATTTAAATATTCCGAATAGAGAGATTAATGCATTAACTATTAAATTTAAATTTCCAGATTAAGGAGTCTAGATATAATTTCTATATTCTTAAATACTTATTATAATAAAGTGAGAAAAACTTACAGGACATCCTGCATGTCGAGTGGTTGGAACTCTCACTCCTTTTTTTTTGGCCTGGTCCTCGACTGAGGTTTCATTGTGCCCATTGTTGTTGCCGTTGTTTAAGAAACAAGCGGCAGAAGACGAAGCCGAAGAAAGAGGAGAAAGCAGAGAAAGGGATTGTGAACAAGGCGGCGAAGAAGGGGCAAAATTGTGCGGCAAAATAAAATAAACAAACGTTTGGACGGACGCACTTCTGGGATTGGTTTTTGGGGAATGGGCCTGGCTCCATCCACTCGGTGTTCTTTGTTTCATTGCTTTTTATTTTTGCAGCGATGTGCTTAAGCGGAAAACAACATTTTGCTGCTGCTGGTGTTGCAGGTTGCAGATTGCAGATTGCATGTTGCTATTTGTGGCGGCTGCAACTGACATCCGGGGGACTTATTGAGGTGTTAAGAAAAAATCATTTCAAAAATTGAATTTTACGAAAGGACAAATGAGAAAAGAAACAAACAAAAAAGAGAGAGAGAGAGTGAGAGATATATACCGACAGATTTAGCGGTCACTCTTTGGCCAATGCGGCGTATACGTGATATTGCATATACTTGATTGTGCACACAAAAGAAACGTGATAATCATGCTTAGCTGAAGACAAAGAGACGGGAAAAAAGGGGAAATAAACATACAACCAAGACGGACATAAGCTGATTGCTTCGTTTTGCAATTTACTCGTCCCCAGTTGTAGTTATACATATATAGTACACATATGTGCCGGGCCGAAGACTTGATTTCTGATCATATATCAAAGCTGACCGAGAACGGAAGTTCCAGCAACAGCTGCTTGTGTCTGTGTGCTGGTGTCCTGTTGATTTCCTGTCTTGCCAGCTGCTCAAGTGCGTGTGTGTGTGTTGTATATGGGTTCCTGTTCCTGAGAGCTGAATAATGTCCCCCAACTGGATATTGCCAAGTGCAGGGCGAGAAATGAATTCGATCTATGATTATTTATAATTTATTATATAGAATTTAGTATAATTTAATCACAACTTTGTCAAACAATATGTTTTATTGTACTTAAAGTGTAACTTTGCTTTTCGAACTGGATTGCGCATACGAAGCTATAGTTCCCAGATGGTTCTAGCTGCGTATTACTAATGACATCTTCGATCAGGTTCATAAATTAACGCTGATATTCTAGATTGGTGATTTGGCAAACATGCTCAATTTTATGTGTGTTGTCATAGATTTACTTAAATACAAGCCGAAACTGGACCTCGATTTGCTTAGCTTCTTAGTTAAAAACTACTTATTGATAGTAGATTGAAAACCAATTAATATCTAGTCCCAATAAATAATACTATAGTTTTTCCTAGTGCATTAACTCTCTTGTTTGATTTTCTATTATGTTTTTTGTCGCTTAGCTTTATTCTGTTTTTTGTCGCTTCGCTTTGTTTCGCTTAGCACAGCAAATTAGCATTCAGCTAACATGTGTTTGGCTGTCACTCTGGAAAAGCCCAGCCCCGCTTCCCCTTCTCCTCGATTTCCCACATTTCCCAGTTAAGTGTGTCACATTAAATGATACGCAACGCTTGACACCAAAATGAGCGAAAGAAGCAAACTAAAACCGAACGCCAAGGAAATGGAGGAAAATAGGGAAAAGGACTCATGAGCACATGACGCTATTCCGTACTTTATTAATGAGTTGCTGGGGGAAATCAATAGGGAAAATTGCTAACAACTTAAATCACAGAAACTAAGGTACTGTAAAAGGCTGTAAACTTAATATATTTATTGAAAATTTGATATAAATTTTCTTTACTCCTAATGTAATGCTATTTTTGTATGGCAATGTGCATATGCAAATCGAGGGCCACACAACGGAAGTTGATTTCAAGTTTCTTTAACCCGAGGGATAGACAAAGGTTTTATGGGAGGGCAAAAAATAAAAAAAAAGAAAACAAAAAGAAAAGTGAAGGGGCAAAGCAAATATAAGTTGGCTGAAGACAAACAAACAGGCAGAGGGCAAGTCAAGAGGTGACAGGAAACAGAAGGCGGAACGTGCTCAAGTTCGGTAGCCACAGACGAGGTGGACAAGTAGGCCTTGCCCCGACTCCACAGATTGTGACACTACGAAATCCGTTCGTTTTAACCCCCCAGTCCGAGTCAACCCGTCAAGCCGAGACATTCGATTTCTAAATATTCTGTAAAAATCTCTCCCGAAATCATACCAAAAATTTCTAGTTAAAGCAGGTCGTTGCGAACTGTGAGATTTGCGTAGCCCAAATACAAAAACACCAAAATTATGCTCAAGTCCAAGCAGCGATTGTCTACAAAAGGTGGTAAAGCTCTGGGGAAAGCCCAAGTTTTTAATGCCAGTAAGACCAAGCCGAAGGTACAGCAGAACAACAGCTTGAAGGTTAAGCAGAAAACTGTGAAGACGCAACCGACAACCTTGAAGATCCAGTCCAAAACTTTGAAGAAACAGCCAAAAATGTTGAAGGTTCAACCGAAAGCCTTGAAGATACAGCAAAATCCATTGAAGATGCACCAGAAGAATCCCCTGATAAAATCCATTCGGCGTTCTCCCCTGATGCGTGCCGCTTTGCAACCCACGATAATGGGCTCTCCCAAAGGAAAGCCGAAGGTCAAGTCGCAGGTGACCTTTAAGAAGTCCCACCGCCAATCCCTGGATGCTCTGCAATCCCTGGGAATGTCCCGCCGGACCAAGCTAATAGATGCCAGTCCCCTGAAGAAAAAACCGATCACTCCGGTACTCTTTCTAATCAAGGACTCCAAGGGAAAGAAAGAAAGCGGCCAGAAGAAATCTTCAATTGGAGGCAGGAAGCAATATTTGCCAAAGATGGACCCAAGATCGATGTCCAGATGCGAGACGAGGGCCTCCGAGGGTGTGGACTTCTTCCATAATCTTGGCATGAGGATGCAGCGAGAGAAGCCGAAGGATCAACAAGTGCGACTGCGAGGAGGTGCTGGATTTGAGGGAAGATTGGAAGGAGGAGAAGGACATCGACCAGGATCAGCAAGGACCAATCCTGGCCTCGCCGCCATCGTTGGTGGCTCCTCCGTTGGCATGTCCGCCAAGGATGTGGTGGTGCCGCTGACCAATCGACTGCCCATCATCGACTTCATTTCCACCTACGAGTTTCAGAATATGAATGCCACTACGAGTCGGAAACCGCAGACACGCAGTTTTGTCCATTGATTGGCGACTGACCGTTTGGCGACTATTTAGTGAATAGTGACCAAAGGATTCTCGGCTTTATAAATGTTCAATACTATTTTTTCAAGTATAAATAACCCTTAATTCAGATTAATTTATATATTTATTTTCGTTAAGAGAAAATACAAAAGTAACAAAGTAAACTAACAAATTGAGTATAAATTTTACCTTATTTTACAAAAGTAATTAAAACATTGAAAGAAAATCCTTTTAAACAATGATTTAAGAATACTTACAAGACTCTTATAAGTTCAACTCATTTGGTAAAAAGTTTGATATACAAATCGGATTCTGATGCCAAGTTCAGATAAATTTATACATTTATTTTAGTTAAAACATACCTTTTATATGTAACAATAACATATGTTTCATTAAGTGACAACTAATAATTTCATTTAATTGAATTACCTTATAAATTTAAATCATTTAGTCAAAAGCCTAGGATACAAATCCGATCCTGCACCCAAACCGGTAATTCATATGAGAAACACTCGACATGGGTAATGGATTCAGTAATCAACGAGTGTGGCATTTTTGAACAAAAAACAACAAACTTCTTGGCCCAAACTTTGAAGCGAACGCGAAACATTTTCATTTAGGTTGGTTTATTTGGACATACCAGAAATACATATTCCCAAATGAAATTGTTGGACAAGATGGAATGGGAATGTGAATGGGAATTGGCGATGGGAGATGGGTTTTGGGAGATGGAAGGGGTATTGGGTGCTTGGTCTTGGGTTTTTTGGGTTGGATTTCGGGTTGGCTTTGGCGAGGTCGGCGGGCAGTAAGCGAACTTTTGCGCAAATTATCTGCGTCGCGTTTATTTCGCGCAAACAAATCGCAAAACTTTTGCAGACGGCGACCCAGCGACTTGTCCTCCTGGTTCCTGCTCCTCCTGATTCCTCCCGATTCCTCCTACCCCTTTTTGGTCCCCCACCCAATCTCATCATCGTCCTGGTGCAGTTGTAAAACTTTTGCCGGCACAAAAGTTTCGGGGGCCAGAAATCCTTGCTCCCGGCATCGCCTTTTTTCGGGGGCATCTTGCAGCAATTTACGGAAAGAAACTTGAGAAATGAATGGTAGATGGAAGCCAGGCAATTGATGCAGCACACCAGGCAGCGGGCTCAAATGGGTGAAAGGTCAGGAGGTGATGGTAAATGAGGGGGGAGCAACAAAGAAGTCGTCGGAGCTGGGAAAATTCCCGCACCGAGAGTTTTTCGGCTTGTTTTCATTTTCGCCGCCGGAGAATTTGCATTTTGCCCAGAAGACCAAGACGACGACTGCGGCTTTTAACCGCAAACCGAACGGAAATTGAGATTCATTTAATTCATTGTGCGCCGAGTTGGATTTTTCGGATGGCAAAGGGTTAAGCAGCGTATTACACGTTGAGAAATAAACATATTTGTACAAGAAAATGAAGTTGAAAAACGCTCTTTTTAGGTAGAAATTTATTCTAAATACACGTGTGCACAAACATGAATGTGCATTTGCCATAGAAAGGTTTAATTTATTCATTTCCTCTTTCCTGGACTTTCATTTGCTTACTTTTCAATAGCTACATTTTTTTTTATTCTGAATTTATTCTTACAACAAAAAACGGTTAAAAAGTTCCCGATTTTCTGTTAAAAAATAAATTTAAAATAATAATTTTTAAAACAAAGTACTTACAAATAAGACTATTTACACTGCATTAAGAGGTTTAAAGCTCCTCCTCGCTTAATTTACTCCTTACAGGATAACTAAAATACCCTTTTAGCGAGTTACTTTACACTAGTTACTTAATGTTCGCAACTGGTTCATGGTTTAAAGTTTTATTAACTATAACTTTTATAAGAAAATAGTTTTTCTAGAGCTATTTAGTTTTTAATTCGCGGTGTATGTGAAAACTTCGTTGACAGGCATAATCAGTAGGAGCAGGAGTGCAGGGGGGGGTGAACAAGAAAGCAGCAGGATGAGCAGGAGCAGGAGCAGCAGCAGGAGCAGCAGCAGCAGCAGGAAGAACCGTGGAGGATCTGAAGCCACAACGACCGACAACATTTAAATGACTGCAGCGACGTCAACGGCAACGCCTTTGCTAATATTTATGCCCCGGGCTTTATAATCGTGGCCAGACCGTGATTCAGACGGGGATTGGGAGGGGAATGGGGAGGACTTAGAGGGCCAGTGTCCGCTCGAAAGAACATGGCTGAAAGCGCACTTTTGGCCAGTCGAAAAAATCCTTGATTGCATTCACGTTGAAGAGCAGGGAGGCATTAAATGGGGGGGCCACAAAAAAAATAAAAAAAAAATAAAAAAAGGAGCGGTGCCATCGAAGATGCCAATTGGAATGGAGACTCTTTGTGCGGCTAAGTGCGGCTGAAACGCCCGCAGTGAGACTGGGGGATTAGATAAAGCCCCCCTTAGACGGACTTACGTAACATTCGATGGGTTGAGTAGGGGTTAAATACACCAAGATGCACACAGACAATATAAAGCTTAATTATCTTGCATAACCCTTACTTAACCATAGTTGACAACTTGTTTCAATGAAATTGATTGTAAAGCGGATGTTATTGCGATGATAAGCGAATTAAATCAACTTCTTATAGACATGTTTTGCAGATTCATGGGATATCTGTATAAAAATATTTTCGTTTTCTATTTTCATATTTTATATGTAATAATATAAATGTAGGGACTGCATTCTTAAATTTTAGGTCACCATTGTCAAATGGATACAATGGATAGGCTAAATAAGCTGTTCAAATATAATTTGTTTTAATAAATTTCCTTAAAAAAACGTTTCATTTTTTCTTACAAAAATTTCAAACTAACAAGGAAAGAATGAAAAAGTTAATATTTATATATGGTTAGTTACAGTTTGCTAACATTTACTCAACAAGGAGGTCCTGCAGTTTTCCAATTGTTTGTTTTGCTTTCTCTTTAGACCATTTTTATCAGAGTCTTTCGGCGACCAACGAGTGTCATCTCTTTTCGCATTTAAATTGTGTGTGGCGGGCAAATTTGGTTTTCGCACGATTTCGTTTCGGATTTCGCATAAATTAATCATTGCCTTGCTCCAAATTTGTGCGGTCAAAGTGGGAAAGTACAGGGGCGCAATGGTTTCAGTGGGGGTTGTGGGGCATGAGATGGGCGCCGGAATGGGGGCTGCAAAGGGGGGTGCACACGGAAATGGGGTTAGCTGACATGCTTAGAGTTAAACGCACAAATGCAAGTTGGTTATTTGAATGGGCCAACAGCAATTGATAAACCAATTATGCAGGATGCATGTGACACTCGACGGCAATGTGTGCCTGTCACTCTCTCTTGGCTTCTCCTCTTTACATATACATACCTCTATATATCCCCCCCTCTCCTTCTAGCCACATCTCACCGTCTCTGTCTGAGTCCCAGTTCCCAATTCGACCTGCTTATTGAACGCAATTACCTGACACAGTTCTGTAGTTTACGCAAAAACGATGTCAATGCACGGGTCAAAGTTCAGTTGAACAAAACAGCGACAGAGACAGAGATAGCGAGCAAAAGGGATAGCTATATCCTGCTGGGGTGTGCTTAACTTTCCTTTTCAGGACTTTGTTAATTAGGCAAACCCCTGTCCCCACAGTGGGTCTTCGCCCAACCAATTGACCTAGTAATCCAAGCCAGATAAACTTTTCCCAAAAATCCAAAAAAAAAAAAGAAAGTACAAAATACTCGCAACAAAAGTGCAATATTAAAAAACAAAGCCCTCTTTACCGACAAGTGCAGAAATCGAAAAGCAATGCCAACAAGTTGCAAACTGAAACCGAAATCGCCTTTTAGACAAAAACAACTGATACTGATCCCACACACAAAAGAGTGACCACCCAAAATGTAGTGAACGAGGCGATACCCCATAGTCTAGTATACTAAAGGGAATGGAGTGTTACTCTGCAAAAAACAAGTCAAATTTTGTAATAACATAAAATAAAATAATAAAAACACTTAAAATAATTGACTTAAGAAATGACATTTTTCAAGAGATTTTCAATTCAGGCCAATAAACAAATTTTAGTATTTTACTAGAGTAGTAGTTGCAGTTTATTATTTTATCTAGATAACTAAGACTTGATCTAGATGAAAGTTGAAGTGCATTGCATCGATAAAAGGGCAATTGAACGCAGTTTTCTTCTGTAATAATTGCCCTAAAATTATTTGCATATAACTTAAGACATTGGACTTCTGAAAGTTCATAGATAATGACACGCACGAAAAGGACCTCTTAAGGACTGCGATTACAGGGTAGGCAAGAACGGAAAGAGGACACCAGTACGTGGTGACCTCGACCCGGCTATAAGTTGTATTTGGTGGCCCATTGTTTTTGCCAATTTCCCTCTTTCTTTCTTTTTTTATCGTGATTCTTTGCGAGGGGCTATATATGGCTATATGACTATATGGCTGTATGGTGGGCGATGGGAAGATTCGCGCTTGCTGGCTTGACCATTGGGCAGCCAGTTATCGCAATCGCAATTGCTATCCATTTCATTTACCGCAGGACAAATTTTTATTGCTGACCCAAGCAGCAAGGACGATGGCATTGTTTCAATATATAAAATTGCCGGAAAAGTTGCTGCAATTGTCCTCATTTTCTTTCAGTTAAGGACAATTTTATTTGTGTGGGTGGCGGACAATAAATGTTGTGCAACATTTTACATAAATAACAAGGACATGGACAGGACAACCGCCGCCTCACCTCGCCCCCTTCGCCCGTCTCATGTCCGTTTTGACAGTCGTCAAGTGCATTGTGCACTTTGCCAAAAACAATTTTGCATTTGCAGCCTGCAGGATTCAGTGTTGTGCACTCGGTGGTATGCAGTATTTAGTATTCAGCAGCCTCAGTCAAGGACACTCCCCTGAATGTTTTCTGAATGAACGAGTGGGTGTTCGTACATAATCATACATATTCATACGCAGCGTGTGCACGTGTGTGTTCGAGTGGGCGTGTAACCACAAGTCAAAAGCCTGTTTAATTATGTTGACAATATGCAAATACCGACAGCGGGCTTTGGACGGACGGCAAAAATAATTGCATTTCGGCCTGCGGTCTGCACTTAATTTTTATATTTTGCGATTAGGAATTTCGCAGATTGTGTTGAATTAATGGATGCAAAGTGCGGTCT